GCCCCAAATTTCTTTTCCTTAGAAGAAATGCTGCAGCATTTTGTGATGTGGAATGTTTTTCAGTAATGTAGGCAATAAAGGTTTAGGATAAATTGTTTGTTATGAAGACACTGAAGGGAAAAAACCTATACAGTGAAGTATGGAAGTAGAGCACTAGCAATAATTCTGCTTTGGGTGTGAGAGATAATGGCCTGTGTTTCAGTGGTAATAAAAATGTTCTATTAAGTTCTCTGAACCCATTGCAATATGATAGAAAACAGCAAATGATGAAACAGTTCTTTAAGGGGAGCTTACACATCGAGCGAGCGTAAAATAAACATATTAAAATAGAAAAAAAGCCCTGATTTCCAGTACGTATTGTTTTATCATTTCCATCATGGGTATAGGATAAAAGAAAACTCTTACTTGCTTGTTAGAAGAAGAAAGCTCCCACTTGAAGTTCTTACTTGGCAGATGTCAGTTGAAAGCTCTGCTAAGGAATATGCTGCAATGTCAAACTCTGTTGGGTAATTTTAGACAAATGTGTCATGTGTGACATGGAAATATGGCATGCTGTACATTAGTGATTTCCCAAGTGTTTGGATCAGGTAGTAATGTGCTGAGAAAGTGCTCTTTATCTCTCCACACTGTGTACTTGTATAGCAGTGGGGAAAGGCTTTTGGTAGAAATTACTTTAGTCAGAAAAAGAATCCATTTACAATATGTGCCTTCTAACATCTTTCAGACAATGCATTGTATTAAAGAGGCATTTTTTGATTAATGTTTTATAAACATTTTTCAGCATGACAGCTTAAAGTCCCTGTAAAATTGTAAATGCGTGCATAGTGCTCACTTCCATAAAGTCAAATGCCATCTCATAAAGTCTAGTTGGATCCTGTCAGTGACAGTGACACAGAATCAGAACCTTGGAGCATTAAAATTAATTTGCTTCATTTATATTACTGCAGTGATAGCTAGATGAAAAGAGTCCTATATTTAAATTATCTTTAAAATACCTTCAAATCTTTTAGGGTTTTTTATTATTATTATTTTACAGTTAACTAAATGTAGTGAAGTGCAGCATAATATTTTCATGGGCCTTTTAGGAAATGTGCAAATAGCAAAGGGGAAAGGAGAGGATGTGGGAGGCTGTACTGGGTACAAAGTGGAGGAAGGATTAAGTAGCTTTCAGTTGAGCAAGTTATTAGAGAAGCAGTGCCCTTTGGCCAGGGCTGATAACCTACAGCCCTGGACCAAACTTGAAGCTCCAGCCTTGGAGCCAAACTGGAACACCCTGGAGCAATGGAGAGCAAAGAGGGCTTTCCCATGCTGCAAGAGCCATGCTCTCACTCTTCCTTGCTGCTGTGGAAGGTCAAGGATAAACAGTGTTTCCTTTGCTTTCCTCAGGTTTGCAAAGTGCTTAATGTGGGAAAAAAAAGAGCTGAGTGAGGACACAAAAAAGGGAGAAAACTGCAATGTGCTCCCTGTCACAGACCTGTGTTCTTCTCTCAACTGCAGTGGGACTGTGATGTTGGTGCCCCTGCCCTTAGTGGAGCTGAGTGATTTTAATGAAAGTACCCAAAACCTACATGGCTGCATGAGTAGAATCAAAGGTCTTGGGAAGCAAACACTTCCAAGTTTCAGCATGGGAAAGCATGGGAGTGGAGGAAGGAAAAGGAGAAAGGGGGAAAACACAAATAGAAAAAAGACACCAGGGCCAAAGAGCAAGGAGGAACATGGGAACATGGGGGAGCACTGGTAGGAGAAACATACCCAAACAAAAGGGAAGAGGGAAATTTGGTTTAAAAAGCTGGGAATACCAATGGTCTTGTTTGAAAGGGATACCTGCAGAACAATCTTTGGTTTTTCTCCCTTCTGCTGCTGCTGCTGCTCTCTGTAGTTCTAGTCAGGTGGGGTGCTGCTGTCTCATCCCACTCCTATCTTTGGAGGAAAACGGGAAGCTTGTTAAACCCCCACTTTGAGCAAAGATGACCAACTGAGCACGAAAGCACAGAAGACAACTTTGTTGTTCAGCTCTCATGATATTTAGCGAGTGAGGGTCTTTGGCAGAGAGTTGAACCAGATCGCTGGAAGCTTGTAACTCCATAAACCACAGCAGCATGAAGGGTGTTTGTGGCATGAGCCTTCAGTGTTGTTTTTCTCCCAAGTGTTTATATATGTATATTTATATACATATATATATAAGAAAAATGTAGTTGGTTTTGTGTTTCATTTTAAAAGAGGTAGAAGTAACTATTAGAAAATGTTTTCCCTAATTAGATATTTGCATGGGTTTTATATGTTTGGAAAACATTAACAGTCATACTGATGCTTGCAGCTACTACATATTGCTACTAAAAAGTTTAGATGGCATTTTAAAAAATAAATAACTCTCATGCCGTTTAGTTTAGCTTTGTGGTAATGTTCCTGACACAAGCATTTGTGACTACACTATGGGGATCCCTGTCACAAAATATTTTCTGAGAGAGATGCATACTGGCAAAGTTGGAATTGTAAAGATCAGAAAGTGCATGAAAAGGCAACAAGGTTGGGTTTCTTTTCTTTCCATTAGACTAGTCCTTACCTGCAAAAATGATTATTATTTCTTCTTTTCACCAGTTAGCATTTCCTGGTAAATAATAGGAACTTTAATTGCACATTAGTAGCTTCCAGGAACCTGTTGTTGTGACATGTATTTAAACAAGCTGTGAATTAAGAAGCTCTTTCTACCCAGTGATGTAATTATATTGTCATGCTAATTATAGTACTTTGTATTTATATTTGACAACTTTAATTTTCTTTTCCTAGTTTACTGAAAGAGTTTTCCTCTAGAGAATTTACCTTTTAAGCTGGAATTTCTTTTATTTCTTTCAGAAAATGTACAGTTATCTAAAGCATGTCTCAGTCACTTTGGATGCATTCTGTTCACGTCTCTGCCATTAGTTTCTGTGTGATCTTAGGCTAGTCATTGTAGTGTTTCTGATTCTCTGTAGGAGCCCTCTTCAGCTTTCTAAAATGTTTTTGGATCTGTGGATGAAATTGCACTACCAAAACACCAGGTACTGTCTTACAAACAGAAATACAGCATGTTCACAGCTTGGGACTCCAGTGTATCTTTCTGTGATTAGAAAATAGAAAAGGACCCACGAGGGTCAATTTGAGATGTGGAAACAGGCAATAAAACCTTTATCTGTTTACAAAAACAGTATGATGGGCATTTGAGGTAAAGTACCTGCCTTAATATAATGCAAATGCCTATTTAATTTCTGTCTACGTACTATTTATTCCCAAGCCCCAGAAATTAGTGTTAGTAATAAGCAACTGTGTGATAGGTCCATGATGTTTTGAAGGCAATTATAATACTGAAATAAAGCATGCAAGCCTTTATTTATTTGATTTAATCCATCCTTGCAAACATACACATAGGTAAAGGCTACTGGCATAGGCATGAGATTTTTAGTGGTGTAATGTGATGAAGCTAATAATAATAATAATTACAAGAAATGGTGCTGTGAAACATCATGAAGATTTCAGCAAGCCCAGACACATGTCAGCAATAGTGGGGCACTGATGAAGTGGTAATATTTAACAAATAAGCTGTTTGCTCACAAAGGGAGGGGTCAATGTTATTAAAGGACATAGAATGGGAGTTCATCTAAGATATAAAGAAAAGTTTCCATAAATATGACAGCTTTGGCTGATCCGAAGCATCTCCTCCAGGGGAAATGGAGGGTATGTGGCACAAAGCTCAGTGTTTTGTCATTGCTGAGAAAGGAGAAAAGGCAGAGCCCGGCTGGATGGGGACTGGAGCAACCTGGTCTGGTGGAAGGTGTCCTTGTGGCAGGGGGCTGGAACAAGATGGTCTTTGAGATCCCTTCCAGCCCAAACCACCCTGTGATTCTATGAGACACGCAGATGAGCTCTGTGAAAACTGTGTGTAGTCTGCTTCACGTCAAGCTTGGTGCTGGCAGAGGACTCCTAGAGTGACATTTAAGATGAGAGAGAAAATAAGGTGCATTCTCAGGAGGCGCCTGAGGAATCACAGCTGCTCTTGTTGGCAGCTGTGCAAATATCTGGTCAGGCAAGACGGAACTGGTTGCAGGTTTTGTCCACACCTGCACTTTGTGGAGCATGGTAGCAAAGTTCCAAGATTTAAACAGATAATTTTGAACAGTAATATGTTCAAAGTAGGCATAATTGGTTTCATTAGTGCAGAAGTGAATAAAACTTATTTTTACATATCACATCATCAAGCAGGAAGATTGTGCATGGAGATGTCTGATAGAATTAGCACTGTTGAGTGCAAATTCCAGCTCTTGGAAAAAATGGCCCATCTCTAGGTCTTAGCACTCACTTCTTCCAGCATCTAGCAACTTCTGTACTCCAGCTGCTGCCTAACTCTTTGTGGGCAGAATCACTTCATATTGCTCACCCAGCTGACTAAACCTTTTCTGTCTCGTGGGTCAGCCAAAGCAGGGAAGGCTCTCATTTGGATGCTCACCAGCTGGAGGGAATGTACAAGCAAAATATGACCCTCCTCCAGTAGAGAACAGACCAAAGAAAGGTTGCAAACATTGCAAGCAGGAGTTGGGCAGGTTGGATGGAGGACAATCATGTGAACACAGAGCAGCCCAGTGGGAGGAAGTAGTAAAGAAGCAGTACAGAACTGTGGTCAGCAACTGAACAGTCATGCTATAGCAGAATGTATCAAGTCTTCAGCAGCAGTTTTTATTTACTGCAATATTAGCATAGTTAGAAGAGATCTTATGGCATTCCCTACTTCAACCATTCTGCCACAGAACTTTCTCTGCCATGTATTTTTTGTATTCATGTTCTTGCTCATTTGGGTTGGATTTTTAATATATAGAACATTTCAGCTCATTTTGGGATTTCTTTTTTTTTTTTTTTTTTTTTTTTGTGAAATTTTCGGGGTGAAATGTCAGTGCAACATAAAATGCTTTGCTTTTATCTGGAGCTCAGAGTCTGAGGTGAGAGTCTGTCTCTTGTTTTTCTGCCTGCAGGGATTCCCATGCTGAAGATAGTATTTGCAGGTTATGAATATCTGTCCTTAATTTCCGTCCCTTTGCTCATCTATCATCCTGCTCAGATCCTTCTTGGCAGTCTGTTGGTACCAACGATAAAATCCTGGATGGTTTCTAGGCAAAAGGTAAGGATTGCTGGATTTGATTTATAATGACAAGTGTACTGTGAGGGGAAAAATACCAAAACACATGTCCTAAACTCCTGGGGTTCCTTCTATGGTTGGGATTTTTTTATTTCCTTGCTTCCTCTATAACAGTGGTAATCACAGCAGTATCAAAATAAAAGTGGAGAACTTTAACCCCCTGAAAAGGGGATTGAAGAGACTCTGAAAAAGTTCAAAGCATGAAGTTAGACCTCTACAGTTAATTCAAGTTACAAATTCATTCAAATTATGAATTCAAAATATGCCCCATAAGAATGTCTCCATCCATTAGCTGACTAATAATCACAGCTTTGGATCTCCTTTGTGGAGAAGTGACAAAGATATGTTGGCTGGCATGGGAGCTGGGGAAATGAGGTAAAACAAGGACACTTTCTGAACTGGATTGAAGCAGGATGAAAACTTATTTCCCACTTCCCCCCCCATTTGTGTCACCTTTTACAATAGCAAGAAGTCCACAGCAGTCTGCGTCATCCCATTTTGTGCCAAAATTAAGGCATGGGATAACTTGTAGGATTATAGATAACCTAAAGGGTTTGGAATCAACATCACTGATTCAAATTATGCTTATTTCAGTACAAATTGAAGGTATTGACATCTGACAGCCATTCTGTGATCTATGTGAAATGATTGCAGTGGTTTTAGTCAGGTTCTCAGAATAACCACCCTGCAAAAAGCTAGTCCATGAAATTGAATTTAATGTTGTCTTTTAATGTTCTGAGATAATAAAGATCAAGAAGCTGCAGCAACTGAAGCAGCCTTTGGCAGCCGTTTTTGGTGATGGTTGAGATCTACTATGAGAAGCCCAGCTCCATCAGCACCCTGCATTCTCCGCTTAGCACAGAAGAAATTTTATTGCTAACACTCGTATTTCCAATTTTCAGCAAAACCCAGTGGCTGTTATTTTACAGCTTCACACCACTAAAGTAACCTTGCTGTCATGAATGCTAAAATCCCAAATCAGTGATTTTCATGTGTTATCTGAACTGTAAAAAGCTGGAAAACTCACAGTTTTCAGAAACTGTGTTCAGAAATCAGACCTGGGTAATATATACCGGTCTGAGTATCTGAAAGTTAAAATCTGAGAATCCAGTGGCAATTATCCATCAGTCTGAAAACATGGGGTTTTTTTTAAATCAGAAATTATCAGGGCACTTTACAGGTGGTATAAAGAAAATTCCATGCTATTTCTGTAGAAAGACAGCCTAAAGTTTATGGTGCTGGTGACAGAACAATCCCTGCAATGCTGACTTCTCTTCAGCATCTCAGGAGTGGGACTGCAGCTCATCCAGACCTCCCTGATTCTCAGGGCAGTAATGGCCTTTAGGGGCTGCTGTCAGCTGCTGCAAATCAAAACAGCCTTTAAACAGAGCATCAGAACAGTCAACCAGTACTGGAGAGATTTACAGTTCACCAGCACTAGTTTCTTATTCATTAAGCATCAAATAAACCTCCAGTGCTAAGCAGACTGTAATGCCACTGTAGAACCACTTTGGGGGATTGTTGTTCTGTTGCTGCAGCTTCTTCAGTTGGTCTTCTGTATTATTCACAAATGTTGTTTTAATTACTCTTTGAAAAAAATCAATGAGGTTGGGTCTGGTACAGTTGCAATAAGTATAATAGAAGTGAATGTTGTGACTGGATAATGGTCTCCTGCTTTGAAAATAAACATGTCATCATCACCCTTGATGTTTATTTTCTACAAACACCTTGGCTTCATTTTGGCATCTCTCTTGCAGAGGGAGGCAGTTATCCAGTCACAGTACTCAGCTGCAGTGACATTCTTACTTAATTATGATAGTACATGTGATCGGGTTGTATGAAATTGAATTTAAATATTTAGAGGTTCATCTACACTAAGGTATTTCTACTTTGTAAATATGGCAGCAGAATCTGCCAAACTACAAAGTTAAAAAATTGTTTTCCCAAACAAAGTGTGGAATGATGTCTCCCTCTCCAAAGTCTCTTGCTGAATAATATCCAAAAGACTAATCTCAAAGGCCTGGATTTAACAATAGTTAAATGCTGGTGTTTCTGAGGGGAATATATCCCATTTATTTTTAAAGGTTTGGGTTTTTTTAAGGGTTTACATTTGTGCTGGAGTGATTTTCAAGCAGTGCTTACAAGATTTAAGTGTACAATATTAAAGGTTAATATCTACAATAAGAAGCCCCATCAGGCATCTCTCAGACTGAAAATTGCTTGTTCAGCCAACCTGCTGGAAACAAGAAATCAGACAAATGCCAGTCTGTCAGGGCTCTTGTCCCAAAAGACTTCCTTCAGAAAAATGGAGGTTCCAAATTTCAGGAATTTGCTAATTTGTCTAAATTCCTCTCACTTGAGCCAATTTGTCCCACCTAAGAAGGCACAGAGCTTTTTTTGCTGCTGAGCATACCAAGAGCCAGCATCCTTCCCAGTGCCCCCACTGCTGCATAGGAGTAGCTGAAAACCTAACACCTTCTGAGCCTATCATGTTTGTCTCCTTACTTAGAGAGGCTGCTTCCTGCCAAACTGGAAGCATGAGCACTGGGCTGAACTTCAGTGTTGCACACTGAATAAATAGCTCAGCTGCCATAATTGGCCAGCCCTGTGAGGAACACAGAGCTGGACCCTGCCGTCAAAAAAGAAAGGGGTTTCTTTCTTCCCCAGCAACAATGGAGGGTGTCCCCTGGCAAAGATGATCTCTGGACTGATGGACTTTGGCTTATTCTTATCTTTTCTCAGAAAGGAGGATATAAACATCAAAGGTGCATGACATCCACCACTGCAGCAGTGATTATCCTCTGAGCAGGCTTTGAGCCATGTGGAAGGAAGCCAGGGACACAAAGATGTTGGCACACATTTTCTTCACTGTCTTTCCTTGAGCGGGTCTGAAGCTCTTCTGTCTGTGCCACGAGTGGTTTTAGTGGGGTCCAAATGGTCGCTTTGTAAAAGGCATCTGAGACCCATCTCTGCTTCCTTCACTGGCACAGCAGCCGTAGTCCTTGTGGTTCCTCTGTTAAGGCTCCCTGTGTGAGGGGAGGTTGTGATGGGCTATAAGAGACACAAACATCATCTCAGAGCCCACAGCCTGTCAGCTGCATGCTGACTCCTCTCTCAGCTGCTCAGAGGTACACGCAGTGTTTTGTTGCCATTTATAAATGAGACTCTTACCTTGTGCTGTTGCTTGTCTTTTAAAGGTATAAAAAAGTGACTGTTTTGTTTCCTGTTCACAGGCACTGAAATTAACCAGGCAGCCCAAAGCACCCGTGAAAGTATAATTGTGGAGATGGCCTGTGTCACAGTGAATGTATATATGTACTATACTGTACACACGGACAATTGACACAGCTGGGTTTTGTGAATGTTGCTTTAGTGCATATTTTATTTTTTTATATATATCTATCTATATATATATATATTAAAAGATACCTATTAAGTGCCTTACAGATGCATTTTTGGCAAAAGCATTGTTTTCAGAAGCCACTTTGTTGGTTGCTGCAAGAGGTTGTACAGTATTTTGGAGTCCATTAGTTTATTTTTCTAACTGAGTGAATGGTCATGACTGACAGCTGGTTCTTCCATTGCCCCTGCTTTGAAGCCAGGGTGCACCAGCAGCAAGTCTCTGTTTTAAACTAGCCAAAATGACCAGGAGCCTATCCCACTGCTGGCTTACCAGCTCTTCTCTTGGGGAAGAGCTTTCTGAAGGTTTTTTTCTGAGATTGACTTGAATTTCTGTGTGACTCTGTTACACTCCCTAGTCATATGACTGTGACATGCCTTTTTCTTCTGAGTTTGTGTATACTCAGCATGGGGCCATCCAATGGATAGAAGCTGAAAAGCATGAATTATTTGCATTTGTTGACACTGTTGTCTAGACATTCCTTCAAAGTTAATGGTATCTCAAGAAAATTCTTTCAATTCCATTGTATGATATTGTGCCATTGTATATCTTAAATGCCTCATAAGCTTCTTCAAAGAAATGGTCTGGTGCTTGGGTTATGAGTGAAGTATTTGTGTTTGCAGCTATGAGATCTTTTTATCATTTACCCCTGAAGAACACGAATTTTTGGTTTTCTTTTTTTCTTCTCCTTCCCCCTGTGCAATGCACAGAGACCTGCACAGAGAATTTAGGATGCTGAAACAGAGCCTTTATTGTAGTAAGCCAAGCTATGTTTTCTCTCTTACTGCATTGGTAATGAATAGTAGCTTATGAGGATAAGAAAGTTGACGATTTATTATTTTTTTTGCTAATCAAAAGGATCCTTATAGTAACAGAAACGCTATCTTAGCTCATTTGACAATCAATCACAACCTTTTAAAAAATAATATTACTCTTTTTAATAAACTTAGGTGAAAAAAGAATACAAAATACTATTTCTAGGCATTGAAGAGACAGGAATGCAGGCATATATTTACACATGCAGCCAGCACTACACCTTGTCTGGGAGATGAAGATTTCAGAAACATGCTCTAGTCCAGACTGGGGGGTGTGCCCATCTGCAAAAACTGTGCTGGCAATTGTGCATTAAAATATTAAGTAAGGAAAGGAATAGGTCAATGGGAGATCAATATAAATGCAGAGCTTCCATGTGTGTCATGGTTAACATTGCAGCCTAAAGGTGTGGCTGAGTGCAAACACCTCGGAGCAAGTCTGTAGCAAATGGAGTTTATTAGAGCTCTGATAAGGCTGAAAGCCTTTACACAAGCTGAAGATCTTCTATGTGACAATAAGCATGTGAAATTCATATCCTTTTGCCTTACTGAAAAACAAAAAATGTGCTTGGTTTACTTAGTCTTTACTTCCAGTCCTGTGAACAACAGGAAAAAAATAATCTGGTACCAATCCTCGGTGCTTTATCTGATGGCCACTTCCTGTTGCCATCTATATGAGAAACTGCAGGGAGCTGACAGCATCACCCTGTTCAGAACTGGCACACCAATAAAAGGACCACGTGACAAAGTTATGGGAGGTGGCACATGCTGAATTCTTTCCTTCCCTGGAGGAGGGGATCAAGCTCTCCCTGCTGAGTAGGCAAGAGGGCTGAGGGACACTGTCCACTGCCCATGTCTCCAGGGCTCTGCTCTCTTCCCACTGGGCAGTGGACAGTGAGTTAACTGTTTGATCAGTGCATCCCTAGATAGAACAGGCAGATCCACCAACAGGCCTGCTAGGAAATAGAGAGTTCCTGGGCCAAATTCAAGGTTCCACTTCCTTAAACATTCTAAGTGGTAACTGATTCCATATGGGAAAAAAATTCCTCTGGGTTTAAAAAACCCACTTGTAGCAGGGGACAGCGTCTGGACTCAGGACAGTTTCTTTATGTTCTACTTCCATAAACCTGAATTTCCAGAGAATATAAAGACTTAATCCCAATCCCACTGAAATCAGTGACTCTTTGTGTTGGTTTTGAATGGTGAGACAGCAGGTCCAGAGGCAGTGTTCCCTTTTCAAAATACATAGCAGGAGGTCAAGGAGACAGTAGCTGACTGCGGTTGTGTCAACGCTAAATAATCAGAACACTGCAAGTACCCTTACTGAGCTACCTCTGTGTACTGAATCTCTGCCTTTCAGTACTTCCAACAACTTGCTTAGATTCCACTGAACACATCCTTTGTTTTTTGGGGTTTTTTTTCAACATTTAAGACTATTTCAAAGTGTTTTACAATGTAGTTTTGTTAGTCTCTTTACAAAGTCCTTGTTGATTGCTTTGGGGCAGCTTAAATATTGTGTATGAGTGTTGGAGGTGTTGGTCTAAAGGGAATATCAAGCTAAACTGAAATACATGTTTTAAATTCAAACTAAATGAAACTGAATTGTGCACATCAATTCTGTTAAGACTATTAAGATGTTTGTTTTATGACCTGCTATATGTCTTTAATAAACAGAATGGTTTTGAATTCAATTTTGTTAAAAGGAAAACACGATAAAATTATTTATCCTTTAGGTCACATTTTTACCTCTGTTATCTGTTTTATTCTTTTGTGGGTGAGCTGTTAAACTTTTTGCTTGTTTTTTAAAACAAAAGCCCATTAACTGTCTGGAAATACTTTATGAACTTGGGGAAAGAAAGTCCTCAGAATGCTGCTAATTGTCATCAATTGAAAATTTATTCATTGAACCTATATAGTTTTTCAGTAAAAGGTTAGAACAACTCTGAATCTTTTCAACTTCCTGGCTTTAATTATAACTGTTATTAAACATATTCAGGCAAAACTGATGGCAAATGAGAACTTTGCCCATGTTACAACATGAAGATTTTCTTGATCATCAACGCTTTCTATTTCTGCATCTCTATAATCCCATCCAGTGACAGCAGAGGAAAAAAACCCACCCAAACAATAAAACAGCACTTCAGAGGTCACAGGCAACGTTAGCACTTTGTATTGAATTACTGAAATATTTTATTTCCCTTTTTGTGCATTAAATTGAAAAGCTTTTGATAACTCCAGTAACTTATCAAGATAAACAATTTTTACTGTAGTTAAAATCAAAGATGTGGTGGTGTTTTTTCTCGTTGATCCTTTAGTCAGTGTGAGCAGGTTATGTGGTAGAAAGGCAGTCTCAGAGGAAGCTGTGCAGTTGTGCTTGTTCACAGAGCAGAAGGAGCTTGGTTGTACAGAAGTAGTCCTACATTACACTGGCAGTCAAGGAAAAAGGAGCTGTTAGTTTTATTTGTTACATTTTTTGTGGAAATATCTTGACAGCAGGAGGTTAGAAGGCAAGATGAAATATGGTCTGTCTGCAAGCACACTGATTTATGTGCGAGTGCATACGTGCATAAGAGATGAGCAGTTATATATGTAGAAATGACTAGAAAGGACCAAGTCCCTGGGATACATTTTTTTTTTTGCAAGATTGCATATGGAGAAAGAGCTACTTTTTTTGATGTTATTCTGCCATTAAAAATGAAATTTCAGACACTGAATTGTGTTTTGTATTGAATCATAATCTCATACAGAACCCTTAAAGCAGACAATCACAGCTTTGTATTTGTAAACTGTAGACTGTTTTACACTTAAATAGATGTTGATGCATTTGGGAATTACAACACAGTACAGGGCTAAATCATAGTTTCTCCATTTGGTTATAATCCAAATGCATTTATATTACTATTATTATAAAGTGCCAGGAACACATGCAGTCCCTAGCAAACACGTTAAATAGACAAGAGACTAAATTCTGCCCTTGGTTACACTTGCACATCTCCAGTGCAAGGTTGTTAAGCTGCAGAGCAGTCTCCCCAGGGAAGCTGTTTGAAGAGCCCTGCCATCGTTCTAATAAAGCTCGGGGATAATGTAGCACATGATGAGACTAAAGGAAGAGTATTTTACTTCAGATTTGATGGCTTGCCCTTTCCAGCGTCTTACAAACCAAATATCTTTTGTCCCTATTTCCATGGGGTAGCTCCAGTCTCCCAGACCAAAACTTACAGCATCCTGCCAGAACAATGTCAGGAGAAGGATGAGGGATGTGGTCTCCTCTTTGCCATTTTCTTGCTTCAACCACACTATTGCTCGTGATCATTAGACTGCGGCTTCTATGCAGAGGCATTTTGACTTAAATTCCTCCAAGCTGATGTGTTCTGTTCCTGTAAAATTCTCATTCAAGAGAGAGCACCCTGCGGGATGGTAAGGAATCTTCTGGAGTTGCATGGACAAGCTGTGAAGGACTAGAGAAAGCAATGCTGGGAAATGCAGGTTGGAGGCATTGCTCCAGGCAAGTATGCTTTGTGCTGGCATCTAAATCTGCAGCAGAGGTCGTGAAAGCAGCCTCTGGATTGTTCCTCTTGCCAGAAAGGTGGAGAGTGAGATCTTCAGTGAGAAGTGAAATTAAATTTATTAGTGATTAAAAGGACAAGAGAGATGTGTTGGAAACAATGAATGCCAATGAGGCCTCTCGGCTGCTCCCCTAAGCAAACTGCAGTCTCGGTGGAGCATCAGCTTCTCAGTTCCCCAAATTGCAGTTATCGAGTCTGGAGCTGATGGGAGCATGAGTCACCACTTAATTTTCTCATCAGTGGAGGCCAAGTTTTCAAAATATTTTTAGATGCATTTCCACAGAGATTTCTGCCAGCCAGTGACCTATAGAGTGACAAGAAAATGAGCAATAGCTGCTGCTGAACCAGGCTTTGCTCCCTGCCGCCTACCCTTCTGATCATAGTCAAGGGCAGGGAGGGCAGGTAAATCAAAACCTTTTGGAATTATTACACAGAAAAGAGCCCTGCTGCGCTGATAGGAACACCTGAATTTGTTAAGTAACAAAATAACCTGTGCATTCTTAGGCTGCCTGGTAGGTTCAGATGAACTTTGACTGTATTGCTAGCCCCAGCCAGAAGCAGGTGTGAGATTAGGAATTGATTGTGATCCATGCTCCGAGGGACAGCCCACAGCCAGCAGCTGCAGCCCACGGAAGAGGCTGTGTATCTCCCAAGGATCCTGTGCTGCTACGTCTCATCTGCTCTTTGCCTGGGTTCAGAACTGCCACCTGGCACAACCATTTGTTACCCAGGTAAGAAAAAGGAAAGAAGCCTCTGGGTGGCATCCTGTGTGGGAGGGCTACACCTAGTATAACAGTCACAAAATCAAAGACTTGCAGATGTTGGCATGCTGGTGCTGGTTCATCTCTGTAAGAGAAAACTTACTATTCATGGTCAGTTTTCTTATGAAACAATTCCAACTTCTAAGGGAAATCAGCTGTCTGGAAAGGGAAGAAAATAGAAAGGAAAGACAATTGAAGGAAATAATGAAACTGAAAGGAAATTGAAGGAAAGAATGAAACTGAAAGGAAATTGAAGGAAAGGCAATTTCATTGATAGGATTAAAAAATTATGGATATCATGTGAGAACTGGTATTCTGCCAGGAAAAATGCAGGAAATAGAATTTCATACCCAATTATTGTCGCAGGACTCAAATTTTATTGACAAAAGCTTTTGCAATTCTGTGCTCCCTCTGTTCTTTAGCATTGTGACTGCAGTTCTTCCCTGTTTCTATCCTTTCTCTGCTGCACAGCCCATACCCAAGATGTCACAAAATTGTTTTATTTCCCAATGCCTTCCCTGTGTAGTATTGCCACTTCTTGTCAACACTGCTTGATGAAGTAAGTGATAAAATGTCTTTTTTTTTCCTTTTTTTTAAATTTTAGCTTCTCCCAGTTAGCTGTCCCTAACTGAACCTGGTGTCATCATCAAGATGATGCTCTCATCTGTTCTCCAAGCTCTCTTAGAGACCCTGTCCTGTAGCCAAGAAACCAGGGCAGCTTTCCAAGATGATGCTTGGGGAAGCAGAACTCAGCTTTTTGTGCTGACACTGAACAACTTAACCCATGCAAATTACAGTTCTTGTGTTCTTTGTTGAGACTCGCAGCTCCCCTTGAAGGGAACACCCACATGATGCAGACCTGAAGCTCACTGATGGATCCATTAGAGTCACTGTCAGTCCTTTGGGCAATCCCAAACTGCTGCTGACATATTTTGCCAAGTTCTCCAGCAAATTCTTCCTTCTTCTGTTTCCTGATATTGCTTCAAATTAGAGAAATGTTGGGAGAATCTCTATTTTTCTTATAAAAATTACAAAAACCCCTTTTTTAATCTATTTTTGGTCTCTGTTTGCCTGAAAAATTAACTTTAATTTCCCAGAAGTGGCTCAGGACTACTATATTTGCCTCACACATTCACTCTGCCCCTTCTCCTAAACATACAGTCCTTCAGGTACCTCACAGCGAGTTGCATAAAGCCTTTTTTTAGAAAACAGCTACAACATCTGTTTATCTGGTCCAATTCTCTGATAAATAAAATATATCCCAGAGGCATAATAGCATGCTAAAAATAAGAGTATGACACAATTTGAGCCAGCTAATCTGGTAACTCAGTTTGCTGCAGCTCACGGAGTGTTAATGTGAGAAGCCTGTATCTTTCCAGCCCGGCTGGCTGTGAGCATCGCGCATGGATCTCTCCCGGAGCCAGAGCCAAATCCCACAGTACTGTGCTGTCCTGTGCTCACAAACTTCCTCCCTCTGGCCTCTGCAGGTGTAAAAACCTGGGGGAATTGTGATATGTGAGATTTTGTGTGAGTCAGGGAGCAGAACAGAAGCGCCGCAGTCAGCGGAGCCTGACGTGTGTCGTGTTTGCTATCGTAGCGCCTGTTTGTGACCCAAAACGTGTAACCTCTTTGATTATAAAAGGCATAAAGAGCTGTATGTACCTGCACTGTCACATATCAGTGTAGCAAATAATCTCATGTTAATTATCTATCAGGGCAATATCAAAAAACCCAACAAAATTCAAATCTTACTGGTATCAAGATGATTTTTCAGATAATTTTTGGTAGGGTTTTTTATGTTTTGTTTTAAAGTAAGGTGCATACTGTGTGAGGAAAAACTCCTCCATGTGTATCATTATGAATATTAAATCATTCTCCTCTATGTTCCATAATTTGATCACATATTGTTAGGAATGTATTTTGCTTATCTAACTCTCTGCTTTCAACAGCAAACTCCCTCTGCTAACTCATGTCATTTGGATTTTTATATTTCAATTGAATAAGGACCTTGAATTTTGGCATATGCATAAATATGCTCCAGTATATAGCAAGCAGCAGCTTCCTATGTTTAAAAAATATAGTGAAAATTTTCAATATTTTTTTAATACTAGTGAAAATAAAATTTAGTCTGTCAAGATGGCACAGTGATAGTCTTTGAATAGATGCTACTTTGAATGTGTTTTAATTTTTTTTCCAGAAGCCTCAGTTTAGGAGCTTATTTTCTTAGTAACAACATATTTGCTGTGAACAGTCCCAGAAGCATAATACATTAGTAGAAAGAAAAGAGTATTTACAGCCAATAATTCAGCTGTTATAAATTATGACTGTAAAGAAAGAGAAAAGGGTTCCTTTTTAAAACTCGCTGCCAGATTCTGGTACAGCAATGCTGAGCAAGTTAAGTAATGTTCTTCTGATGAACAGTCAGGTCTTGAGTAGTTTTCATTTTTAAAAGACTTTATTAAGCATTTTTCTCAAACTCATCTTTTTTGTTCTGTTTTGAGCAGACTTCAATCTGAATAAAACTCTCAGTGACTCTTTAGCCTACATTAAATTCTCACTGACAAACAGAAGAGAATTATTATTGATTTTCTCCAGAAAGAACTAATAGGCTTTGCCAAATAAATCATGCAGATCCTAAGTGTGCTATTCATCTGTTCTGCAGATTATTGCTTAAAAGCCATGATAGTTGTCCTTTAAAAATCAAAAGTCAAATCAGTCCTTTGACTTGAAGTGAAAAATTTGGACTGAATGTTATCCTGGGCCTTATTATTGTTTGGTTTTTTTCAGTTTGGAAAATGAGAGGGCTGGCAGGCATGGATTCTTGGTAAGTGTGGATTCTTAGTTTCTAGGGAACTCGACCACACCTGGAGACTGGAGCTAACTGGTTTGTGTTAATGAGTGGCTCAGTTATTTATCCCTCCCTGGGATTATGGAGCACCCCAAGTCTCCTGAGAAGCCAGAGCTGACAGTGGAGTTGATCTCCTTCAACTTGGACTCCCTTTGTGTCTGTGTGTCTGTCTGTGTGTCAGTGATGGCCCAGGGCCCTGACCAGGTTCTGAAATACTCCAGCATCTTCCACGGTTTCAGTTCCCTCTGTTCTGGAATTTGTAGATACTTTGTGCCCCTCCTATCTTTCAAGAATCCATTGTAGATAATTATTATGTTTATTTAATTAGCTTTTTGTTGATTTGAGCTTATTTGGTGCAGTCACTGGTGCTTCTGCAGCACACATTCCATCATCTGATTTTTTCCTAATTAATGGAAGAGTCTGATCACCCATTTCCAACTAGATTTTACATACCCTTGATAATTTTTTTTGTTGTTGTATCAGAGTTGAAGCATGTCTCAACTAATTGCAAGACATAATACCACAAAACTGTACGAATAAACAAATATTAGTATGTACTTAACATCTATACCTAGATACCAGTGTTTGTACCCACAGACAGAGGATGCTGCTACTGGCTGAAATTGGAAGACAGGAACAATGTAGTTTATCCAAAGTCTGTATTTCTCTAATAAATTTCAAATCAGCATGAGACATATATCCCATTCAAATATTCATCTGTTTAGCATCTTTACCAAAAAAAGAACTGTCTAGATGACCCTCATGCCAGCAGAAGTTGTGGTTCTAGCTGATATTACTCAATTAACATTGTATGAGATTTCTCCAAATGTGTTGACTGCTGTATCCATCTTAAAGGGAAAAAAAACCAAAAAAACACCCAAACCACTACAAAACCCAAAAAACCCCCGACCCCATAACCCAAAACAAACCAAACAAAAAAATCCCCCAAAACAACAACAACAAAAAAACACCCATATCCTTTTAATTTCTCCTGTTTGTCACTAAAATAATGCATTATGAATTTGCCAAGTCTTGCAAACCAGCACAGTTTCATATTCTGGGCACACCATTAATTTTCACAGGAAAATATGTGTTTAGAATCACAAGGTCTGCTCAAACATTGAATGCAGTTATTTTTCAGTATTTTCCATACATGAAATTTGGCTACCTTGTTGTATCAAAAATCCAGCTCTACTGGCAAACAAACACATTTTTTAAAAAAGCTGGAAGAGGAAAAGGGGAAGGAAGAAACCCATGTGTGACCTCTGGTGGTTTTAAGACTTACTCAGAATACTGTACCTCATCAATGATTAAATGACTCTCCCTTTTAAAATGTATTGAGCCCTCATTTTTATGTGGATGGATATTACTACCCCAGAAATTCAACCTCTCACTGAGAAAAAGGGTGATCATAAGAATGGGAAAACAACTCAGATAAGTAAAACCAATGCAAATGTTTCACCAGCTCCTTAAAAGAGACTGACAATCTGAAGAAGTGTAAACACATGGGGTCCATATTTCCAGAAATAAGAAATTATGGCAGACGCTCAACTGCCATTGACACATCAGGTAACCATCACTCTGGGAAAACAGGTACTCTCTGAAAACTGGGCACTTTTAATAAGATTGAAAAGAAAGTGCTTAAACACTGAGGTGTCCAAAAATTTAATTTGGTTTGCAAATACACATTTTGACTCTTTTTCAAGTTTCTCATTGTTTTCTTCTTTGTGTGTGTCTTTTCCTCGCTCTGTCTGAAAACAGAAAAAGGGGTAGAAAGCACTGTGTAACTAGAACAATATGTGTATATACACATATTAATTGTATACATCTGTATCAGTCAGCAGTTTAATATTTAGATACCATTTTGATTACATAGTTTATTTTTTGTTTGTTTGGTTAAGGATCTTCAGGAGGTTTTCAGAATATATGGGCTGGCATGGAAAGCAAAGCTAGATTTTATCAGATATATCTCAATGCTTCTTAATACCATGTACTTTCACCAGTTTTTTCTCTATGCCTTGTTCTTTGTAGGCAGCACTTAGTACTTCATAGTCCTTCAGAGAGAGTGCTGACTGGCTGAGAAGTCATCCTGGAGAGCAGGGACACAGGTATTTTCCATTTTAGATACACAGGCCAAAATACCACACATGTATGACCAAACTGACTTTTACTTAGGTACTACATGATAGGAAAAGTCAGTCAAATTGTCATATTTTAAAGAATGAAAACAAAATTGTCCATCTTGCTGGCAAATGGATCTGTGCTTCCCTGGGCTGTAGGGCCTGCACACCCTCATCCTGCAAGCAGAGGTGCCTACAAAAAAGTTGGAGAGGGATTTTCTATAAGGACAAGTAATGAGGGAATGATTTCAAGCTGAAAGAGAGGGAATGGTTTCCAGCTGAAAGAGAGCAGGTTTAGAATAGATATTAGGAAGAAATTCTTAACTGTGAGGGTGGTGAGGCACAGGGTGCCCAGAGAAGCTGTGGCTGCCCCATCCCTGGAAAAGTTCAAGGCCCAGTTGGACGGGGCTTTGAGCAGCATCTGGTGTGAGGTGTCCCTGCCCAAAGCAGGGGCTGGAACTGGATGATTGTTAAGGCCCATTCCAACCTAAACCATTCCATGGTTCCATGTTGCTCCCTGTGCCCCTGTGCCAGAGGCTGCAGTGCCCAGACCATGGAACCGATTGCTCTGTGACATCAGCCCAGGGCCGCGGGCGCTGCAGTGCTGTGGGCACTGCGGCTGTGCTGGCACATGGAGTTCTCGCTCCTGCAGCTGGCATGAGCCACGGGCAGCAATGCTGCTGTTCTGCTTCCTCGTGCTGCTGGCCGCGTTCAGGCCTGTGCAGGGTGTGTGGAACACCTGCGAGTAAGTGGCCCCAGGCTCTGGGAGGGAGCCTGGGCAGCACTTGGGGGCTCCCTGGAGAGGGCCTGCTTGTCCTTCATGGCCAGGCCACAGCCTCCTGAACCTCACGGGGAAGCCTCAGTGCCTTGGGGACAGGCACACACCCCGTGGCCTTCCCTGGCGTGCTGTCCCCACACACCTTGTGGGGAGCTTCTGCTGGAGCAGCAGCAAGCCATGGAGCAGATGGAAATGACTTTCTACTTGCAGAGGGAGCTGTGGGCTCCGGCCCTTGACTTCTGATGCTGAGCGAGGCATGACACGCGTCGTGGGTGGCAAAAGTGCTGAGTCAGGGGCCTGGCCCTGGCTTGTCAGCATCCAAGATCCCTCAGTTTCAGGCACGGGGCATCTGTGTGGAGGGTCCCTCATCAGCACACAGTGGGTCCTCACAGCAGCCCACTGCTTTGCTGAGTCCAGGTAAGCAGGAGCAAGAAACAGGGATATCCCCACAAAATCAGCAGGTGCCCTATCAGCAAGTGCCGTACGCTTCTCCCATCTCATTTCTTTGCAGTATGCCCAGTGCCCGGGCAATGCAGAGCCCAGCTGAGAAATTGCTCAGGAGAAGGCTGGGCACATGTCACTGCTTTCTAGACATTCCCAGAGCCTGAGGCATGCTAGAGCAGTCACCGCCTCCACAGTGCTGCTTTCCTCTCTGCCTCAAGAAGCAGAAGGCTGGTCACTGCTGGGCTGCTACAGCTCCAGGCTCTGCTCCCTCTCACCCCTCTCTCCACATGCCCTCAGGAACATCAGTGCCATGCGCCTGGTGATCGGGGCCACCCAGCTGACTGAGCCGGGCCCTGAGGCCCAGGTGCGCCTGATTAAGCGGCTGCTGGTTCACAAGGAGTACGATCCTGCCGACCAGAGCAACGACATCGCGCTGCTGGAACTCAACGAGCCTGTCCAGTGCAGCCCCTACATCCAGCTGGTCTGCGTGCCCAACGCCACGCTGAACGTGGCACAGCTGGAAACCTGCTATGTCGCTGGCTGGGGTGCCACCACTGCAAGATGTGAGTTTCCAAAAATGGAGGGCAAGCTCAATACACTGTGAAGATGGGTTGGGCTTCTTGACAGCAGAGGCCAAAGCCAGAATAAGGCTGCCCACTCTCTAAAAGCAGACAGCAGGGACAGAGAGCTTCAGCACCTCTGTAGAGGCACAGCCAAACCCTAGGGAAGGGGATCGCCTCCAGATGGGGAAAGTGGCAGGAAGCTGCCGGGTTCTCATTCCTTTCTGTGCTCACAGCTCAACAATCAAGTGATGTCCTGCAGGAGGCCAAGGTCCACCTTATCAATGTCCAGGTCTGCAACAGCAGTGAGTGGTACCAGGGGGATGTCCATACCCACAACTTGTGTGCTGGCTACCCGGAGGGTGGCATCGACACCTGCCAGGTAGGAATGTCACTCAGTGACAAGTCACTCAGCCCCCAGCAGCGCAGGCAGCACCACCCCAACACAGTCCAGCCCCTGCTTTCCCTGGCCAGTCACTCTCTCATCTCTGGCACCCCACCTTTGCTGGGGCTTCCCAGCCATTCCCCATGTGCAGGGCCTAGCCCAGGACCTCCCTTGTCCCAGAGGCCTGGCACTCTGCCCAAAAGGCCCTGCTAGTGCTCTTTGCAGTCTAGAGATCCAGATGCCAATGCTGGAATATCTGTCCTCTGCATATCCAGGAGCACTGTGCAGAGCTAAGAGAGAGCCTGACTTCATAGGCTCCCAACCCACTCCCAGCCAAGCTTCTGGAGGCTCCAGCACCTGAGCAGAAGCTTGCTCAGCTGAGAATACAGCTCTGTACAGGGCTGTGAGAGAGAAGGAGGCAGCACCAGTGCTGACAGGGGCCACCCAACACCACCTTAATCCTCTCTGGTTTTCTGCAGGGTGACAGCGGGGGTCCACTCATGTGCCAAGACAACAGCGCTGACTTCTTCTGGCTTGTCGGAGTGACCAGCTGGGGAAGAGGCTGCGCCAGAGCAAAACGGCCTGGAATATACACTTCTGTTCAGCACTTCTATGACTGGATTCTGGTCCAGATGGAACTGCTTCCACAAGTAGAGGCTTCTCGGTCATGGAGTCATTATACAACTGCCTCACAACCGTGGATTCATCATACAAATGCCCCATGGCCCACTCAGAAGCCATGGCCAAAACCACCTCCCACTCAGAAGCCATGGCCGAGACCACCTCCCACTTATAAGCCATGGCCAACAACACTGCCTGCTCCAAAGCCATGGCCAACAACACTGCCCCCTCCAAAGCCATGGCCAACAACACTGCCTGCTCCGAAGCCATGGCCAACAACACTGCCCCCTCCAAAGCCATGGCCAACAACACTGCCTGCTCCGAAGCCATGGCCACCAACACTGCCCACTTCTAAGCCATGGCCAAAACCAACCCCCACTCAGAAGCCAAGTTCGATACCCGCACCAGTGGAAGAGATTAAGACCTGCCCATTTCCACTCAAGAAGCTGATGGAATTCTTCACTCAGATGCGGGACCTCCTGAAGAACCTACAGGGAATTGCAGGTTGAGCAGGAGAATGGACAGGATCCAGTGCAGGTTGCATCAGACCGTGACTGTTTCCTGCTGAGGCAATGCCTGCTGATCCAAAGGCCGCCTCAGTGCCGAAGGTCTGCTCTGTCTTGCCCACGTTACTCCTCTACATGTATGCAAGTGCTAATGTTGACTTAGTTGCTGAAATAAAGTTGCCTATGTTTGTGGTTAACCATGCTTTCAGTCCAGTTTGGTCTCTTGGGCAAGGCAAGGACTTCCTTGCCCAGGACCTACAAAATGAGGTTGCCTCAGACCACTTGGGCACAAAGGGAGTCACTCTAAAGGGCTGGAACTGTGTCTGATCAGACAGAAGAGTGCTCAGAGTCATCAGATGGAGACTTCAAGTCACATCAAGGCTAGGAAGAGGACAGGAGGAGACAATGCCACATGCAGGCACCTTGGGGAGGGACACATTGAGGCACACAAGGTGGTGACTAGGGCCTGGCAAAAGCCTTAGCTAATGGAGCAGACCTGGGAAGCTCCTGAGCATGACAAGCAAAATTTCTGACTGCTACAAAGACAGGGAGAAGCTGAAAGGAGCTACAGTGCCCTAAGGAAGAGCAAGATTTCACAGGTAGCAAAGGGACATTGATGTGTAAGGTAACCATACTTCAGAGATGTTTGAAGGAAGAGTTGGAATCTGGGGATTCCAACTGGGGAGGAGAACATGGTAGGAGCAGAAGGACCCAGGAAACTGCATCTGTATTGCCATGGAAGGCCAAGGTGAGCTAGTTAACAGCACCTGCAACACCAAGTCTGTCCACAGGTGGGACAAACCTTGGACTCAGGGGGAAAAGATAGCAGGGAGGAGAGAAGGTCAGAGAAAGAGAGGAGTCAAGGAAGATGAGGGGGATGTGTAAGCATGGCAGATAGGGAGAAGGGAGGATCGAGGAGCCAGTCTCACAGACACAAGCTGCGTCCTTGGCCTCACATTCCAGGTGCCACAACTGCCCTTGTCAGCGTGAGCCCAGAACAGCACTAACCCTTGTAGACGTCAAGGACAGGGAGCCTCCCAGAGGGTGTTGCTGTGGCTGACATGGCCAGCATGGACTGTGCTGCATCCATGTCCCCCCATGCTTTGCACAGGAAGGATGACACTGTGTGGGTATCTCTGGCATATGTGACTTGTGCTGCACTGCTTGCCATGGCTGTAACCAGATTGCACACATGCATGCTGTCTGCAGGAGCCATGTGCTCTAGTGGGTGTTTTTTGGGAAGGAGCTTCTGGCAAGCAGCTGCAGAGTTGGGTGGCAGTGAACCTCCTAAAGAGACCGTGATACCACACAGGGTGTTTTCCTGCAAGCTGTTAACAGGAAGTTCTGTGAGCTCCTGCAAACAGAGGGGCTAAAATAAAGCTGGAGAGGGACTTTTTACAAAGGCAAGTAGTAGTAGGACAAGGAGGAATGGCTTTACAGTGAAGGTAAGTTTAGAACAGATATTAGGAAGAAATTCTTCTCAACCAGAGAAATTCAGTGACTTCAAAGCTGCACTCAAAGCAAATGTCACAACCATCTCCTCCTCAGAGATGGAAAAGACCTGTCACAGTCATTACTATGACACGAGCACCTACCAGCAGCTTCCAACTGCTCATTCAAATGCCAAGTGACAGGCAGATGTTTCCAGTAAGAAATACAGCCCTCTCAGAGCCTTGGGTTGCATCACCCACCAGGACAGCATTGCCTCAGCCTTCTCTGGCCGGGGCTGTGACCTGCTGGAGTCACTTGAGCTCAGCCGGGCTCAGCTCTGACCATGGGGCCCAGACACACCACGTGGCACTGCTGGGACTGGAGAGAGGTTTGCTTTTCCTTGTCACAAACGTCTTTGTTAGCAGGAAGCTGTCAGGAGAAGGGGACATAAGACAACTTCCACCCTGCCTATTGTTTTCCCAGCAGCGTTTGTAGTGGATTTCTAGAAGAAAAAATCCCCACAAACTGCAGTTGGGAATTTAAAATAGCACTGGGGACAACGGTGTATGCTCTCTAGTGGCTTGATAATTAAGATAGAGTATAAACCATTTAAGTAGAAATGCCACTGATAAGTGCAGAGAAGGATTACAAACTCTCCCTCCGCCCGAGCGCTCCCCGCCGCGCCGGGACGGGCCCAGACCGCGGGGCAGCCATCGCCGCGACAACGCTGCCCCCTGGCGGCGGCCGGCGGGAGCGCGGGGCGGCCGGGGCTGCCCTGGGGAATGCCTGCGGATGGATCCCTGAGCATGGATCCTGGGGATGGATCTCTGGGGATGGATCCCGCGGGGTGGGCCCGCACGGATCCGCCCGGGAACGCAGGTACTGCACGATTCCTGCCCCGAGCCGCGCGGGCAGACACCGCTGCAGGCAGCCGCTGCCTCTGACACGTCGCGTTGGTGCTGCCTCAGACACTGGCAATTACTGGTGACCCCTCACTCCGACTGGGTTAAATATTTTCCCACTCCGGGCCGTGTGTTTGCACAGGAAGGATCAGCAAGTCACGTCTGCTGCCGTTCCCTCTGCACCAGCTGCCCGATGTCCTTGGTACCTGGCCGTCAGTTCTTAATGTACATCAACATGCTCTGATATACAGCCAGCCTGATCTTTGACTCACCTTTGGAACAGCAACACATTTTCTCAACAACAAATTATACTTTGACATTAGAAGGTGGCAATCTGTAATGGATATTGCAATCTGAAGATTGAAAGAGACTATCTGTGATCTTTGTCCTCAGCTGAGCAAGCTGGAGTCTCTCTTCCCTCCTACACATTATTTGATTGTGGGACATAACCTTGGGATGTACTAATAATCATTAGTCAGAGCTGATGTATCCGTTACGGGCCTGCCCTGCTCGGGGAGGGAAACAGGGAAACATTCTCTAGAACAGTAGTAAATCAGCAAAACATGCACTTAAATATACAGTAAAATGTGGTTTTAGACACGGTCCTTCATACATCATGTAGCAAAATGTTTTATTGAGAGAGTCACACACACACTAATGAGGAAAGAGGGCTGCCAAGACAAGACCTGTGGAGGGGAAGCAATTTGGTGGCAGGAAGGGGCTGGGAGAGATCTCTGAGCAGCTCCTGGTCCAGGGGAAGTTTTGACTCCCCAAGTCCTTCTCTGCCCTCTCCTAGCCTTGGATGAGCTGGCAGGAGAAAGAAGGGAAAGCAAAGGAAGGAAGGGAGCCCTGCAGAGCTGTCCAGACACAACGAGCCTTAAGGGCCTGGCAGGGGCAGTGAAAGGGTCCACCTTGCCAGGAGGAGTGAGAGGTCTGTTCTGCTGTTCACCAGCTTTGCAGGTCAGGCTGCTACTTTGTCGTTTGGTTTTGCTGCTAAGCAGGTGTCTTTTTGGAGCTGAATGCTGCAGAAATTGTTAGAGCTTCTCCTTTGCTTTTTTACAGGCATTTGTCATTATTATTTAAATGTGAGTGAATAAATAACACATGTATCTGCTGAATGTTTTACTCTCTGGGTTCCTGACCTTGCTGCTTTGCCTTCCTTGCTTTTGTGGTCCTGACTATTTGCAGAAACTATGCCAAAAGGGCTGGCCAAGCCAGTCAGCCAGATCTCTGAAATGCCTGGGGCCACATCCCACACTGATCTGGGAGAGCCTGAGCTCATACATCCCTGCTGACCGTGATTGCTGGGCCCACAGGGCCCTGGGGTTTCTCCTATGAGTCTTGTCACCCTTCTTGGAGCTGGCCAAATCGGTGCATGTCTGGCTTTTTTTGCTTACTAGTGGCAATTCAACCAATGCTGGAAATGTCTGTGATGTCCAAGCTTTGGATCAGCTGTCTTGCTTAGTGCAACCTCTCCACATTACATTTAGTTATTTCTATTTGTTTTTTTTTTTTTTTGAGTGTTGCTCAAGCATTGCACTAGTCATAGACATTTTTACTGCCGAAACTATGTTTGATGCTTGTTTGGCTGGTGGGGAGATAGGCTCAAGAGAGGTGTGCATTAGCTGCTTTCAGTACTTCTGGCCCCAAACCATGTCACTTCACTGAGGGATGACAGCCTGGCATGGCCCACAGGTGACTGCGGGCTGAGCTGCCCTGGAGGAACTGAAATCCCAATTCCAGCAGAACGTCTGTGACCAGCCCAGTCATGCACCTAGAGAGGGATACAGGGCAAGTCTTTCACATGTCTCTTCAGTAAATATTAGAGTGGTTTGTGCCTTTGTTTTCCTAATTCTGACATGTTTTTTCTCAGAAATCTGTTACAAGAATGAGCACAGACTAATTTCCATATAAGGTAAGTCAGTTAAGAATGGGGATGTTTGAATGATTTGCCTTTTAATAAATTAACCAGTGCTCATGTTTTTAACAGCATTAAGAAGTGATAAGACCTCCATTCCTCCTGTCATGGCAACTACAACAAACAGAACATCATTCAGAAGTCAAGAAAAAGACACAGGCACTTTAGGTCTCAGCCAAGAGAGCCACAAAGTAGCAAAACTCATTACTAATTCAGAGGAGCTGTATCCCTCAGAGCTCACCATTACTGGTCTTATTGTTAATAACACTGGAGCACATCAATTTAGCAGAACGCAGAGTCTGGCAGAAGGCAGAATGGTGTTGAAGTGCCATTCTCCCAGTCAAGCACCTCCATGAGGCCTTCCCTTGCTCTAGTCAGCCTAGAAAGAGGCAGTGCTGGGTTGTGGGGAAAGAGCTGAGAGGAAAGTTCTGGTTTTATAGCCAGAGCAGTCTAGTAACATTAATCCTAGAGAAACAGTGAAAGAGGCCATAGGTATTTGTAATTTATTCATAAAGAGCTATGCCATCATAAGAAACTTTTTAAAATAATATGTGATAGTTCTTTAAATATTTAAGAGTTTGTTGACCTATTTTCTCAGTTAATTAGGATTTTTTTTTTTTTTTGGCTGCATTAACAATTACTTGAATGCAGTCTGTTTTAGTCACTACACAGTTCAGCTACACTGGGTTACATAAACATGATTTCTTTCTAAGGCACATGACACAGGAGAGGAGTGCCATTGTAAGTGTCTAGATGTGTGCTTAAAAACCTGGAGACTTACTAGTAGGTAAAGCATAAGCTCAATTAATGAATATAAAACCATTCACCTGGTATCCTTCTGAGTCCTAAACCAAACTTTGTCTTTTCAATTACAGTACTACCCTTGTTTTCTCTGCAGCAAAGGGCTATGGTGCAGTTG